AACGAATTTACGGAAAATTAACTAACGACTGGAGGCGTAATAATATATACCTTGTTCACTGAGGCCTTGAATTTTTTACAAACTACGCGACACGATGATTTAACAATACTCGGTCGAGGAGACGAGAAAAATACCGAAGATTCGAGTAACATGACGTCAACAATATTAGTAAAGCCTAGACAACAATGTAATTGCAAACACAATGTATGATTCGAACAGAGTTACATAACAAAAATTTGTCACAACTAACGCTTTTAAAACAATCAATCTTCTACACTGCTGTCATGAAAACTAAACGATCGTTAGATATTAAGTCAGAAAATAAACTAAATAATAACACTTAGACTAAACAGTCTTGTATATTCAACACAATGCATTTCCTATTCATGATCATCATCCACCTGTAATAAATTTAAATTGTCATTTAGAAAATGGATGGAGAGTTTGGTACACTGATGAAAACCTATATCAAAGATAAGAACAAGCACCAAGAACTACACTTACTGGATTCTTTGAATTATATATTGAAAATGATTTTGCCAAAACTTACTTTACTGTGAAGTACCTACTTACTACATATGGAATAAGGAATTATGGAAAATAGGGGCTGGAGGCACTGAAGTTCAAGGACAGCCTGGTTTAAAATCATGTGATACAATAGAAAGAGTATATACTTTTAACTTCAATCAATTTGAATGTTTTTGTCTCAGAATTTTCTTCATGAAATTCGTGGCCAGACCTCTTTGAATATTTCAGATCTGTAAGTGGACAAGTATGTGAGGCATACAATTTGATGGGATTATTAGAAAATCATGAACAATGGAATAAAACACTTGAATAAGTAGCATCTTTTAACATCCCATTAATCTCAGATATTTATTTGCTGTGATGTTAGCTGTATATGCAATGTCAAATCCACTACAGTTATAGGAAACACATAGGTAGAACATGGCTGAAGATATATTGTACACAGTTAAAAGACAATAGAATACAATGATGACATTTTTAATGAAACTATTATTGTATCAGAAGACAAACTTAACACAATTAATGGAAAATTTCTCAAAGATTATACCCTCCCAACACCTACTAGAACACAGAATAATACTTTGTGAATTGACTATTTGAGAGAAAATTCATATAATAGCAGTGAACTCCAAGAATTTGTTAAAGAAAATGAAAGGAAACTAACAACTGATGAAAACTCAGCATATCAAAGAATTCTTGAAATGGTTACTGCTCCTAATGGTAAAATTCTTTTTCTCTTGAGGCCCCTTGCGGAACTGACAAAATTTTTCTCAATTTTTCTGCTACAGTAGTGAAGTCTTCAAGAATTGCAGCTACGTTATCATAAGGTGGTAGAAAAGCACATTCAACATTGAAATTAACATTAACTTATCTCATAACACTGAGGCAATGTGCATTATATCAAAAAGATCTGGAGTTTCTAAAGTTTTACAAGAGAGCAAAATAATTGTATGGGATGAATGAACCATGTCTCACAAGCATGCATTTGAAGCCTTAGATAGAACACGTAGATTTCTTACGTACAATGATTCACTATTTGGCGGGTTACCTTTGCTTCTTTCAGGAGATTTCAGACAAAGTATTTCAGTTGTCACGAGAGGGATGATAGCACATGAATTCAATGCAAGTTTGAAGGCATATTACATCTGGTATTATGTAGAGAAGATAAATTTGATAACAAATATGAGAGTGTATCTGACTGGTGATAATATCGCTGGTGAATTTGATAATCTTCTTTTATCTATTTGGGATGGCAAAATACTCCAATATGTTACTACTGGACAAATTGTCATTCCTGAAAATTGCGGAACATTAGTTCAAACTGTTGAAGAACTTAAGGAAAAAGTTTACCCCAATTTAAGTCTGAATTATCATAACGTCAAATGGCTTTTTGAAAGATCAGTTCTAGCCCCTAGAAATGATATGGTCGATAAGATCAATGTGCAACTGTTGAATAAACCTTATGTAGAAGAGGAATCTTATAAGTTTTTTGATTCTGTTCCTGATTTAAGAATGCCAAAACTTATCCAATATAATTTCTAAATTTACAACAACCTTCTGGTATGCCGGCTCATAAAATACAGCTCAAGAAAGGCGCTGGAATAATGTTACTAAGAAATCTTGATGCTCCAAAACTTTGTAATGGTATTAGATTAGCAGTAAAGTCTATGAGGAAAAATATTATTGAAACTACAGTCACAACTGGCAAGTATGCTGTCTTTATACCAATTTCCCTCATTCTCAGTGATTTCCAATTTAAATCCAAGAGACTTCAATTCATTATTCGTGTTTGTTTTGGCATGTCTATCAATAAGTTACAAGGACAAAGTTTGAAAGTTGCTGGACTATATCTAAATCAACCCTGTTTTTCTCACGAACAATTCTATGTAGGATGTTCAAGAGTTGGTTCTTCAAATGATTTTTTTCATCTCGGCCGAGGTAGGAAAGCTTTAAGTGTTGTTTATACCGAAGCATTACAATGACCATTCTCTTAAAAACTGAAGTACCTTAATCTTGCGATTTGTCTTCAGTTGAACTGGTATTTTGGTCATTTGTATTTCGTAATGAAACTGAAGTTCTTGAACTGTGCTATTTGTCTTTAGTTAAACTAATAATTGGTATTCAAACTGAAATGCTTTAATCTTGCGATTCGTATTCAGATTAAGTGGAATTTTGTAATAAAAAAAGAGACAAAAAATTAAATACTTTTAACACTTACGTAATCAACC